ACATAACGAGTCAATCCAATAGACCATTAAGGTCTAATATCAAAGATCTCTGTGTTTTAATCAATTCAATGGCTATGGTATTGTTTTCCCCAGGTGAGGGCCTATTGATCAATGGTGGTGGTATTGTTTTCCCTAAACAAAGGTCTCACTAATGGATGCCACGAATACAATTCAAAAGAAAACTTCATTCATTAGTAAGCAATAGCATTTCAAAAACATCAACCACATAACAATTTCAAAGATAATATAATTTAAACATATCTTTATAAAGTTACTACTCATAATGGGTCAGATCGATTCTATGCCTCGGAATTCCACCAATACAAAACACATAATGAATACACAATTAAAGCACCAACTCAATAAATTATTTCATCTTAATTCAATTCTCTTTGTGTGTTTCTAGCTTATTCTGCGACCATGTGTGTCCAATTGGTGCCTAAGAATACTTAAAATTATATGAGGATGCAAGTATGTACTTAGAAGAGTTAGCCAAAGATTGCTGAAAACAAGACTTTCGCTCGAGCACACACTTTGTCGCTTCAACGGTCTTGTAGTATGCAAAGGGTTCACTTGAGCGTACACTTGGTCGCTAGAGCCATCTGTAAAGACTGCAAAAGTACTGAATGCTGGATTTTTACGCTCGATGGTGGCTCAAGCCAAATACTGAGCAAAAAGTGGGTTCGCTTGAGCGCACACTTGGTCACTCGAGCTGTTGTGCAATTGTATGCAAAACTACTAGGAGCTTGAAATGTGCGCTGGAGTGACAGTTCCATTGCTTAAGGAAACTGCTTGAATTCTGGAATTTCCAGAATTGTGTTTAAAGTTCAAACTTGCAATATAATGGTTCAAACTTTGCATGGTTAATACAAAAACATGGTAAATCATTTCAGAACATGAAAACATAATCAATTGGAAACCAATTACTCAAAATCACGCTCCAAATTCCAATTTCAAGCTTAAACTATAAAGTTATAACCATGCATGACATGAATTAAACTCCTTTCTTTTTAAAACTCCCATGCATGAGATGAGAAGTGCTAGAACTATGGAAGATCTTCAAAAATGTCAAATATAGTTTCATGCATGTGGAAAATTTCATGGAATTCAAACTCAAATTGGTGATTCTTGCATGCATGCATACAATCATGCTCAATTCTTCCATAACTAAGATGATCCTAGCACATTTTTTCTAAATTCATGCAAATGGTCTTAAAACTTGGTGAATATATTTCCTATATGGATTATTTACAAGGATTGAGTGTGTCTCTAAGTTGGCAATTCTAACAAGTATTCCATAAACAAACAGATATTCACACTTAAACATATAATTAAGCAATTAAACTCACACAAATAAATATATAAAAATAATGTATGTTGGACAATCTTCACTGTATTTGAAAAAATAAATTTTGTTTGTGTACTCAACAGCAAACGGAATATAGAAGAAATAAAGGATATGAGAGAGTTTGTTTAATTACAAAAATCAAATCAGAAAATAAAATAAAATAAATAAAACAGATTTTTATTTCATTACAAAAACAAAATGAAAATCTGAAACCGAAAAATAATAAAACAGAAAATAAATTAATTACTTACTAAATTAATTTATTGAACAAATTTTCTGGACTTGATCAAGTCCAGTGTTTAACACTGTGTCCTTAAGACAAATTCGCCATCTCCACAGTGCTTTCAGATTGTAGATGTCTATCTCTCATGATAAAATGATCAATAGCAAACAATAGCAGCACTACAAATTATTTGCACAACGAATACACCTTGTGTTTACATTCTTTTTCACAAAAAAATAATGCAGCAAAATGTAGAGAGAAATTGCAGAATATTTTGGATGAAAATTGAAGTGAAAACATCAAATGAGGGGCTGCCTATTTATAGATGAAATGGTGGCTGTTTAATTTGAATCAAATAGGTACAGATTTGAATAAACATGTATGGTACTTTTTCGGTTTGAATAAACAGATAAAAATCTGTTGGGTTCAAATTTTGAACAGATAAAACCTGTATTGAATAGATTTGAATATGTCTGGGTGCAAAAAATAAAACCAGAGCCAGTTTTTGAAATTAATTTCCGAAATTCAAATTTCAAAAAATTAGAATTTAATTTAAAAAAATAAAATTCAAATGCTTTTACCCTAAAAAGATAGATATTAGACGAGACAAGCCTAACCCAACCATACACCACGCATCCGCGCCCAAGCCCAGCCAGCCCGCTCAGCGGCGCGCACGTGTGTTGATTTTAGGTCCAATGGGTCTAGCCCACTTTGCTCATAATCTCCCTCTCTACAAAACTTGGGTGCCCCTTGGGGCTTATCCTAGGTTCTAACTCCAAGCCTTATAAACCCACTCAAAGTTTTATACTAAATCAATGTGGGACAAGCCTTTATTCAAACATTTAGGGAATTTCACCCAAAACACCATTTCCATTGAGCTATCTTTGGCTTCAATTTCTCATTCACCCGATAATGGTTTTGAGCAATCAAATATACCACATGAATCATAACACGGCATAAAACATGTTATCACTTAGACCCGCTAGATTTGGCGCATGGGTCCCACATAAAAAATAGACCAAAGTTGAGGAAAAATCTAATTTCCAAAACCATTTCTAACAATGTACGCGTTTGGGTCGTCACACACACCAATCTCTCTTGTCTTTGATTCCTGCATTCGATTGTGTATCTCTCTTGTCTTTGATTCCTGCTTTCGATTGTGTCTCTCTCTCTTTGAGTTTCAAACCCTAACCCCAAACCCTTGAAATCATTCATTCAAATCAATTTTCTAATAGAAGAGAAGAAGAAGAAGGTGAAGTAGCTGTGGACATTGATTTTGTCTGAAATATTAAAAAAACATGAAATTCAAGTAGTTATTTCCCTCAATTTTGTTCATATTATGTGAGATGTACGCTATGATTGCTTGAGATTTGTTGAAATTGTCTCAAATTTTTTAAAATTGCTTGATTGCTTCTGTTAATTGCTTCATATTTGTGGACTGAATTTCTTAATTTCTGTTGAAATTTCTGTTCAAAATTGGTGAATCAAATTATGTTTTTTAAAAAATAAACAATATATGTTTTAAACAAATTTATGTTTAACATTTTATTTTTTGGTGAATTTGGAAAAAAAAATAATTTGGCCTTGTTTTGCTGGGAAGGATGAGAAACTGAAAGAGGGATGGATGGAAGGAAAGATTGGCTTTTGGTTGAGTTGGCACATTTGCCATTTGTCAAATTTGACAGCTACCATTTTCAACCATTGGACACCTAGTTTTTGCTTGGAGTTGCTATATTTTAGTTTTGATAGCTTCAATGACAAATCATTAGAGATACTCAGAGAAGAGATGTTATTCTATTGAATGCAATTAAAGGATGTATAAGAAAAATAAAAATTTTCACCAATTTTTATTTTTCTTTTAAAATGCCATATCAATTATCAATGTTAATGTTATGTAGTTGTGATTGTATATTTAAATTTTTGAGCAATTTAACGAATTAAGATTGAACTATAAAACTATTTAAATGGTTATTGAATATGGAATTTTAGCCGTTACTAAATTTAAGAATGTTTGAGAAGGAAAAAAAATGATAAATGATAAAGCTTTTAGGTTGTATAATTTATATGGCATAACATATTTATACAAAAAATATTAATTGTTCTGCATTGAAAATCTACAATATACAAGAAAGAATGTGCGTAAAATACAAATAATAATAATAATAATAATGTGAAGCAATGGAGGTATTGTTTAGCAATAATCTTTCGTAGCTCGAATTTCATTTGGCTTGAGTGGCTCGACTGTCCAAAACGACATCGTTTTGGGCAATGTTTGTTTGTTTGTTTGTTTTTTTCTTCTTCTTCTTTTTCCTCTTATATTCTGAAACAGATAGAGGAAGAGAGAGAAGAGAGAGGAAGAGGGAACAGAGAGGAGAGAGAGACATCACCGCTAGCGCCATTACCGGCGCTATCATCAACAGATCCGTGTATATACAGATCTGTGAATTTGTTTTTCTCTGTGTATATATGTGTATGTGTGTATAGATCTATCTCTCTCTCTCTCTCTTTTCTGAGTTAATGATGATGATGATGTGGTGTAGATGATGATGTTTGTTGTTGTTGATGATGATATGTTGTTGATGATGATGATGATGATGATTTGTTATTGTTGTTGTTGTTGATGATATGCTCTCTCTCTCACACAACTCCCTTTCCTCTCCTCTTCCTCCTCCTCATTCTTCTTCTTCTTCATCTGCAGAGAGAAAAGGGCAAAAAAAAAAAAAAGAGTCCAAAACGACGTCATTTTGGGCAGTCGGGCCACTCGAGCCAAATGAAATTCGAGTTACAAAACGGAACTATATTGTTTAGTGAAATTTACTGAGGATGTTTGTAATATATTTTTTTGTGAAAGAATTTGTGTGAGTATGTTTAATGTAGCTTTTAATTATAAATAAATAAATTTAAAATTACACTATTAATGTTTCTAATTTATGTTTTTACAAACTGGCCAATATTTTTAAGTAAAAAATTTAAATACAACTGTTATATTAAAATAATAAAAAATGAGAAATTATTTATAAATTAATTTGACAACATCTATGTCAAAATAATTCAGTGTGTTTAGTTTTAATTTTTTGAATTCAATTTAAAATAATTCAATATGTTATATTAAAATAATAAAAAATGAGAAATATTTGATAAATTTTTAAAGATTTTTTTCAAAAATATTATACCTTTTAAATATATTTATGTTAAATATATCTAAATTTTTTTAAAAAAAAAATTAAAATATTAAAAAAATTCAATAAAAATAAAAAAATAAAATTTTGTGAATTGTAGAAATCAAAACTGTTACTTCATCTTCAAGATGAATAATTGCTAGTCATCTATCGGCTGGGATGAAGCCACGTGCACCAATTACAAATCTAAGCGACGAGGACTAATTGACCGCCTCATCAATCAAATCAAGCTATAAAAACCTAAAAAAAAAAGAGAGAGAGGTGCAGGTTATGAAACGTGAGCCCCTTGTTCACGTTAGAAAGAATCATCAATGGGTTGAACGTCCTCCCCTCCCCAAACCTCAAGTACGATCGTTAGGAGAGAGAAAACTAAGAAAAAGCCATGTCAGAGAAAGAAATGGATTCAGGATTTCTTCGTTACGTGAATCTAGGGTTTCTACAGATTGAATCTTCAAAGCCTATTTGTATTTCGATTCAAATGTGAAAAAGACTAGGGCCAATACAAATTTCTCTTCAAGACTCGAATTCAAAGCTTCGGTGAGAATTCGGGCTTTGTTGCTCACCAATTCGCTACGAATAGAACAACAAATCCATTTTGTATGTGCATCTGTATATGTATATATGTATGCTGTTGAAGAAAGCATTGAATCAGTGATTTTTGTAATTTAATCATTTTATATTTGATTTTATTTGACAATTGCTTGTAGTAGCATTTAATAAATTGTTGAAAACTGTGTCTTGTATGATCACATTGTAGTGGTAATGCATGTGAAATTAGTTTAAGGTGGACACTAGAGCTAGAGCTACTGGAATATCAGCTCATAGTTGTGATATGTTGATTACTTCATGAATATACATTTTCTTCAGAATTTAACATAAAAGTATAATCGCGAGTAAGGCTGAATTCCGGCTTGCAGTTTGATAATTATCCTACAACTAATTAGGTTTCTATGGAGTATACAGGGATGATTAACGAGCCAAACGAGCCAAACAGTTAATTGTTCAAGCTTGGTTTGAAAACTTTAGTGAGCTTCAAAATTTGTTCAAACTTGGTTTGTTAACTTTTGAGCTGATTGCAAACGAGCTTTTATTGAGCCGAGCTCAATTAGTTTGGTATTTTTATATAGTTTTAGACTTAGCAAACTGAGCTTGAGTGACCTTTTGTTGAGCCGAGCTCAATTAGTTTGGTATTTTTATATAGTTTTAGACTTAGCAAACTGACTTGTTTATTTAACGAACAGAGCTTGAGTGAGCTTTTAACTAGCCATAATATTAGTGGAACATAATAATCGTAGATGTTTTCCTTGCTGAAATTGTGGTTAGATGTTTCTATTGTACCTGAATCATCTTAGAACTTAACCAATAAATGATATCATGACCTTGTTATTGTAGCAGTGGATCTCTTGGCCGCAACTTTGACATTCAGACAAAGTATTTGATTCAATTAAATGGAAGAAGACGAGGAAGATAGAGTTCTGTTAAGCAGTTTGGGTATCACATCTGCAAATCCTGAAGATATTGAACGAGACGTATTAGCAGAGGTTGTTATTTTATTTTCATACTAATTTTGTTATTATAAGCATATGATATTTTTGGAAAGCACAATCTGATGGTAGCTGTTATCCAACGGCAGGCAAGAAATAATGCTGGGGAAATTAGCGAAGCAGGTGGAAGCACGGAGGAGGAACTTCTTGGCAGTTCAAAAAACAATGAATTGTTGTCTACCAGCCATGCTGACGTCTATAATAAATTAAGGGCTGTAGAATTTGAAATAGATGCTGTTGCATCTAGTGTTGAACAGGTCAAGAACCTTGCAAGAAATGAAAATCATGTCTCCGATGGTTATGATGGTGAGGAACAAGGAGATAAAGAGGATGAACGGAGCATTTTACAGTCTTCTTGTAATGATCTAACCCTACAGCATGCCCTAGCCACTGATAGACTAAGAAGCCTGAAGAAAACAAAGGCTCAACTCGAGAAAGAAATCTCAAATTTGTGCAAGGATGACCCTTCCAAATGTAGTAAGCATGACAAATTGATACAAGATCTTGTTAAGGAAGAGCGAAGGCCAAAGTCAAAGTTGAAAGAACTTCAGAAATCAAGCAAGAATCCAAAGAAGCGGCAGAAAATAGTTTCATTTGATGAAGATGGTGATTTTGATGAAGTTTTAAATACAGCATCTGCTGGATTTGTTGAAACAGTGAGTTAAACATGGTTTTTTAGTCTACTTTCACTGAGTTTACAATAGGGTAGAAGGGGGTTAAGTGGTTGATCTTATATACTCATCCTTCTATAGAAAAGTTTTCTATTGTGATTGTAATTGGGGTGTTTTAAAGTTTATTAGGGTATACAAATGAAATTAGAGCTATAAGGACTAACTAAATATGTTTTATGTCTTAGGAAAGGGATGAGTTAGTTCGGAAAGGAATTTTAACCCCCTTTCATAAGCTTAAGGGCTTTGAGCGTCGTATTCAACAGCCAGGGCCCTCTAATAGGGACAATGTACTTGAGGAAGAAGACAAGACTGATGATCTTGCTTCCACCAGTATAGCTAAAGCTGTCCGGTCTTTATCAGAGGCTGCTCAAGCTCGTCCAACAACCAAGCTGCTCAATTCGGAATCCCTGCCAAAACTTGAAGCACCCACTCGACCTTTTCGAAGACTAAAAACTCCGCTGAAGATCCCTCGATCACCAGAAAGTGAGACAGGGAAGAACAAAGGGACATTACAGAAAAAGAGAAGGCCATTACCTGGGAAGAAATGGAGAAAGTTAGCTTCTCGTGAGGGAGAACCTTTAGAAGAATCAGGTATGTTGAATTCCTTAGCTTCATGGTACTGCTGTACCATTTGTTTGTCTCATTTTCAACTGTTAACTTTCTCATTTCTTTCAGAGGAGCTGGTCAAGATGTGTGATTTTGTAGTATTCTTTCATTCTTTTAGTAGACGAACTTTCACTTGTTATTTTAACTGTTAACCTTCACATCTTTAGATTTCTTTCTAATTCCCCATCCCCCCACTTCTTTTTTTTTTTTGGGGGGGGGGCGGGGGGTGTTTTGCTGGTGATTTTTTTTTATATTTCATTTGTTATTTTTTCATCATAATTTTGTCCTTAGGAGGCCATATCAATGTAAATCGTCACAAAATGTTAGGAAACGATATGAAGTTTGTGAAGTTAGTGCTTTTGTTGAATTTACATTATCATCGTTTTTCTTTTTTCTTTTTCAAATTGATGTATATGGAAATATGATCTGGTATTGAACTTGGTGTTTTTTTCCCGAAGATGCAAAGGGTGATGTGGTGACCTGTAGTAATGAAGAAGAAGACCAAGAAGATGGCGAAGATGTGGATGCTCCTGAAGCTTCTTTTGTGACACTTGAAGGTGGGCTGAAAATCCCAGAAACCATTTTCAGCAAACTTTTTGACTATCAAAAGGTGGGGGTTCAGTGGTTATGGGAACTTCATTGTCAAAGAGCAGGTGGAATCATTGGAGATGAGATGGGTCTTGGGAAAACCATCCAGGTTTTATCTTTTCTTGGTGCATTGCATTTCAGTAATATGTACAAACCAAGCATAATTATCTGCCCTGTTACACTCTTGCGTCAATGGAGGAGGGAAGCACAAAAGTGGTATCCAAGCTTCCATGTGGAGATACTTCATGATTCAGCTCAGGATCCATCTAGTAGAAAGAAGCGAGCCGAATCCCACGAAAGTGATTATGAAAGTGAAGAACTGCTTGGCAGTGACAATGAAGAAAATTTATCTACTCAAAACACCAAAAAATGGGGTTCCTTGATAAATGGTGTTTTGAGATCACAATCTGGGTTGCTGATTACCACTTACGAGCAACTCCGTTTGCACGGGGAAAAACTTCTTGACATTGAATGGGGTTATGCAGTACTAGATGAAGGACACCGAATTCGGAATCCAAATGCCGAAATTACTTTAGTTTGCAAGCAGCTGCAGACAGTTCACCGCATAATAATGACTGGTGCTCCGATTCAAAACAAGCTTGCTGAATTGTGGTCTTTGTTTGATTTTGTTTTCCCTGGAAAGTTGGGTGTCTTGCCTGTATTCGAGTCTGAATTTGCAGTCCCCATATCTGTCGGTGGCTATGCTAATGCTTCACCCTTACAAGTATCCACAGCATACAGGTGTGCATCGAAATGCCTCTGAAATCTTTTCCAGGATTCTTAATTCTATGTCAAATTTCTTCAATTTTACCTGTCATATCAGTCAGTTAATTGTGAATTACTGGAAAGCATGATGAATGTTGCATGAAACTTGTGAGTCATTTTTCCCAAGTTATCAGCTTATGTGCCAAACGGGACATCAAAAGTGTGATTTATTCCTCTGCTCTGCCACTCTCCCCAAGAACAAGAAAGAGCCCTTACTTCTGCTTTGGGTTTCACCTTATTTTTTATCTATTTTTTTATAAATATAAATTGTTGCTCCCCCTTCCCCCTCAACAGGTAAAAGAGAGAAAAAATAAAAATTAAAGAGATAATGCATTGCTTTACATAAACTCAACTCAAAAGTACTTATAAACTTGTTTGAGTAGCTTCTTTCAGAAGGCCTTGCAACATTGTTTAATGTCCTGGTCAAAGATAGGATCTCTTGGATGTAGGGTCATTACCATGAGTTTCCCACCTCTTCAAAATCCCAATCTTTCCAATGTTGAATAAATTCTTCCTACTATATTTGATATCATGCAGGTGTGCAGTAGTTCTACGTGACTTGATCATGCCTTACCTGCTCCGGAGAATGAAGTCTGATGTTAATGCCCATCTTACAAAGAAGACTGAACATGTCCTCTTTTGCAGCCTTACGGCAGAGCAGCGATCAGTGTACCGAGCATTTCTTGCTAGTTCTGATGTGGAACAGATCTTTGATGGAAACAGGAACTCCCTGTTTGGGATTGACGTGATGCGTAAAATTTGCAACCACCCTGATCTGCTCGAGAGAGAACATTCTTTCCAGAATCCGGACTATGGGAATCCGGAACGCAGTGGAAAAATGAAAGTCATTGCCCAAGTGCTTAAGGTGTGGAAGGAACAAGGTCACCGTGTTCTTCTTTTTTCACAAACTCAACAAATGCTTGATATTGTCGAGAATTTTCTGACTGTTGGTGAGTATAATTACCGGAGAATGGATGGTAGGACTCCTATAAGACAGAGAATGGCCTTGATAGATGAATTTAATCACTCAGATGATATTTTCATCTTCATTTTAACTACAAAAGTCGGTGGTTTGGGTACAAATTTAACTGGCGCAAACAGGGTGATAATCTTTGATCCTGATTGGAACCCTTCCACTGACATGCAGGTTGGTTTGTGATTATCTCTTTGTTTTATCCACATTTTTCTTGAAGAAGAATATACTTGTTATTTTGTAGATTGATTTCTAAAATTTTGACAGTTTGATTTTAATATTTTCCATTTTTGATTTATTGAAATATATGTGATCTGGCTTTTCTGTGCCTTTTCCGCATCAAGGTACTGACATCTCTGCAAAAACTATTTGAGTTTCTTCATGAATTTTGAGCAGGATTGCTGCCACTTATATTAGTAATTTTGATCTCTTGCCTGCCTCTGAAAATGCTGCCATTAGTATATTGATCCCACCTGTTGCTTATGACAGGCTAGGGAGCGTGCTTGGCGTATTGGTCAGACTAAGGATGTAACAATTTATAGATTGATTACTCGTGGAACAATAGAAGAAAAGGTTTATCACCGTCAAATTTACAAACACTTTCTCACCAATAAAATATTGAAGAATCCACAGCAGCGAAGGTTCTTCAAAGCCCGAGATATGAAGGATCTCTTTACTTTAAATGATGATGAAAATAGTGGCTCTACCGAAACATCTAATATTTTTGGTCAGTTATCTGGAGATGTCAATATTGTTGGGGCTCAGAAAGATAACGAGGATAAGCAGAAATCAGTGAAAATGGCAGTGGCAAATGCTGATGATGCTGCAGTTGAAAGAGGGAATAATTCAGAGATTGGACCATCCAAAAGGAGTGGTAAAGAAAAAGCTGATCATAGTGACGGTGAAGTCGATGAAGAAACAAATATTATTCGGAGTCTTTTTGACGCTCATGGAATTCATGTAAGTTTCCTCTACGATGCCTCTATAGATGTAGTTTTTGCCCTTTTTATCGAATCTTGTGTGGTAATTTTGCAAGAAAAATTGTCCACTTTGAACCTATCATGAAAGAGTGAGTTTTTTTTTTGAAATTTGATTGCATCAAGAGAATAGGAAGATTTTGACAGGCATTTGTGTATAGAAATCTGTTCTTGGCAAATCTCTCAATATGACCCTTTCAGATTCAAGTTCCTATCAGCTATAATTCATAGGTTACCTGCTTATTCAGTTGTGCAAGAGGCTCTTTAAGCAAGAATTAAATTTCCTCCTCTTTTTTTTTTTTTTTTTTTTTTTCCCTTTTTTCCCACCCTTTTTTAATCTAATCAACTTTCTGTCTGAAGTATGTTCTAAAAAATGCAAATTAAACAGTGATTATGGTTTGTTGAAAAAAGAAAAGTGAGTATGGTTATCCCATCTCTTGCCTTTTTATGCCGTGCATTGTTACTATTTTCCCTTACTTTTCATTTTCATCTTTTTTCTTCAGAGTGCCGTGAACCATGATGTGATTATGAATGCCCACGATGAAGAGAAGATGAGACTCGAGGACCAAGCTTCCCAAGTTGCTCAGAGAGCAGCAGAAGCATTACGCCAGTCACGAATGCTTCGAAGCCAGGAAAGCATATCTATCCCAACCTGGACTGGGAGATCCGGAGCTGCTGGTGCACCCTCCACCATTCGCCGGAAGTTCGGTGCAACAGTAAATTCCCATTTGATCAATACCCCTAAACGCTTGGAAGAATCATCGAGCAATGGCGCAAGTGTGCCAAATGGCTTTGCAGCTGGGGCATCTGCCGGTAAAGTATTATCGTCTGCTGAGTTACTAGCTAGGATTAGAGGGAACCAAGAAAGAGCAGTTGGTGATGGGATCGAACATCAATTTGGTTTGGCTTCAAGTTCTGGCAACAGAGAAAGATCTGTGGATAATGATAAGCAGCAGCCTTCTAGGTCATCCCGGAATCTATCAGGGGTGCAGCCAGAAGTGTTAATTCGTCAGATCTGTACGTTCATACAACAAAGAGGTGGAAGAACAAATTCTGACGGTATTGTGGAGCATTTTAAGAACAGGGTACCTTCGAAGGATCTGCCCTTATTTAAGAATCTTTTGAAAGAAATTGCCACTTTAGAGAAAGACTCAAATGGGTCTTTTTGGGTTTTAAAGCCGGATTATCAACAATAATGAAGTGTTCAACCATGGATTCATTGCAGCAAAAGTGCCGAGTATTTTGTTGTTACTCTTTTGATCGTATCAAAAGAATTGTTTTGGAGCTGCTGCAGTGTTCTTAACTGATTAATTTGTTTTAAAGTGGGTAAAATTTCCAAGGTGGTTACTTTCTTGGGTTTTTCTGCCTTGCTTTTGCTATCGCAATTTTGGTCAGGTCATAGTACCTTTTAGCTGTACATATATTTACATGCCCCTTGGGTTTTTTTAATTTTTTTTTTCTTTTCTTTGGATAAAAAAAAAAAAAAAACTGAAATTAAGGTAATTGTTTTGACATGAATGAAAGCTCAGCAGTTTCTGATCAACTCTTTGCTCATTGTCAGATTGGAATTTGACTTTGCTAAGCTACACATACTCATTTTTTTAATTAACTTAACAAAATTTTAAATATAAATTAATTATCTTCTAAACAATTACTTTTTGAAAAATATAAATTTATTTTTCTAATCCAACCAAAAACAATTAAAAAAACTTAAAGGGGGGAGAAAAAAAAGGAGAGATTCGTAACATCTTATCACATACTCAGCCTATGTGGCAACTGAGTCAGATACTAAATAGCATAGATATCTTCTAAGTTACAAGGAGATGATGGTGTCAAGCGATTTATATTTCAGCAACATTGCAAACTCAGAATTATTTATCCAAAAATAAGAATTAATAGGCCGAATTTATTTCACTCCTGAATTCCATATTTCATCACTTTCATCTCCGTTGCACATGTCTATTCTCGGTCAATTCTGAATTCCAGATTTTGGGTCCAAATTTATTTGTTTATATTTACATAACAAAATCTTTTATTAACTGAGGTGAAATCATAACAAGAACTTCCTTCAAATAGGACAACTAAAAATCAAGCACAAGAGAGAACGTTGTTCAAAAACGAAAAATTATCCCTCACTTTATCTCATACTTTTTGAGTTCCCTTTCCCTTATTTTCCACAACAACCAAACAAGGGATAACAATTTCCTGTGCATTTTCCGCTTCATCAAATATTACATACCAAACTTCACAAAAGAGTTATACTGCGACCCACATGATTTCCAGAATATCTAGAAGAATCTGCTTCATTTCAAAAATTGTATATACAGCCTAATAATTGCAAAATGAAATAGGTTGACACAACAAATGACACTGCGAAAGCACAATCATGAGCATCCAACTTCTGATTAAGGCCTCATTTGTCATGTGATTTTTTTATTCAAAAAATTATTAAAAATGTCAAAATGTCAACAACCTATACCACCAGAAAGTCAAAGATTCTCTTTTCTCTCTACTTTTTGCCCATCTTTTCATAAAAAGCCAAAAAATCATCTCACATACTAATTTTTTTTACATCATATTTTAGCTAAAAAACCAAAAAGTTACTAAAAAAACATGTTCCCAAACGAGGCTAAAAATATACAACTCATACTTAATATTTCTCGAGTAAATTAAGAAGAAAAAAAAAGTCGTCCATTTTGATAGTGTGTATTACCGTCATTGTGCAACACAAAATTTTCAATCCCCAATCTAATTCATTTTAGCATCAAATCCCATGTTTTTCATACCAAACAAGTTGGAAGAAATAAATGAGTTCTTATGCACAAATCAAATCACCATACTGATACTTTAGTACTATGCACTCGTTTGGCATAAAGAGTTGGGAGATTTTTTGGCTATTTTAACTACAAAAAGACAAAATGAGTTAAAAAATCAATAAAACAAAATATCACATCCAAACTATAATCATTTTTTTTTTCCCTCACAAAAGTCAAAAAATCCATCATAAACAAAGCTTTTTAGTCCCAAGCTAAAATAGCCAAAAAATCAAAAAGCCAACCCACATCCCAAACGAATCCTATAATATCCAGTACAGTGCTACAACAAGAAGAGCACAAAATTGGCTGTGATGATCACATCAGTCCAAGGTAATTTGCATCAGTCAACTGGAAAAAAGAAAACAATATTCTAATCCAACAAAAATTAGAAAGGAGAATAAATATTCTCTCTGTTATATATTAAATAAAAATTTAGAAGTACAAGCAAATCGAAAGAAGCATATCAACATATTTCAATAAATGTTATTTCCAGAAACGGAGTATTTGGTACCTTGAATTTTCTTTCATTTCCTTTTTTTAAAAATTCTTGTCTTTCTCAACATAACAGCAAACAAAGATCTCAATCAAATCCAAAACACACAATCAAAACGCTGCCCATCCAGCTGCACTGGTCTTTGCTGATCCTGATCCCGTTGTGGAAGGAAGATTCCTCTGCAGATGACACGAAGCAAACATGCTTAACTAATTGCTTACTCACAAATGCAAGGATTTCTAATATGCCAAAAAGATGTTTTTAAAACGACTCACACCAATGAGGAAACGCAGCGAATAGAAATATTCTTCATCACAGCAAACCTGTGAAAGGAATGTGTACTGTTTGAGAGACCCACAACCCAAGAAGGTTTCACCCGATCCGACCTACTCGGTTCCATTAACCAGCAGCGGCGTTGTTATTTTTCTCTAGTGGTTTCTTTGGTTATTTCATTATGTCTAAGGACAAATTTCATTATTTGGTTAAATATAGACAGTTATTCTTATTGGTCCAGTGTCATGAGAAATTCACCATGTCACCTTCCACAATGTAGTCTATGCTTGAGCAGTCAACTCAGCTATATAGTCCATGTTGTGACCATCCAAGGTGACTCAGCCTCATGCTTCAACTATGGCTACTACGCGTCCAGGTTTGCATGGTTCTCATTCTACAAGTATCTCTCCTACTACTTGGATATTTGATTCTAATTCTTTGGTTTGTAGACCCTATGGTTTGTGGACCAAAGTGCAAAACTTACTTTCGTTTATACTACCTATAAAATTACCCGAACAGCCTTATCTTCTTCCTCTAAACAATATACTTGTGTGTATATATTATATGTAATTTTTATTTTATTTAAAAAAAAAAAAAAAAAAGACCATCCAGACATCCAACAGTCAACAAATCAATTAAAAACCCAAATATCCAATTTCCCCAATCATTCACAGTAATCCACCTAACAAAGGTTGATAAGAATCAAACATAAACTGGAAAATTTAAACAAAAACATGCTTTAAGAGTTGTTCTAGGACGGACAGACCACATTGTTCGCTGTTGCTCTTGGACAGTTGGACCACAGATGGGTGTTGAATTAGTTGTTTATCACAGATGTCTGTATGAGCTGGATGTCCACCTAGACTGTTTCCTCATACGCAAAGATTTCTTCTCCCATTCCTCAATCAACTCTCTGAACCATTCTTATTCAACTTGCAGCAGCATCACAGTGCAGGAAAGGACCCTAAGATCCTGATTGTGTGCAGTTCCTCATGATTTCTTGCTCACACCAGCAGGATGCCTAACATAAGTGTTTGCATCCATCTGGGATGACAATGAAGGTTGTATTGCAAAGGTGTGAATGTGGCTTATATAAGATCCTTAGTGGGCTTAGAAAGAGAGAGGAAAAAAGAAAATAAACGAAGTTGCAGCAAAGAGAGAAATAGTTACGAGAGTAGATGAAGAATAGCATTTTTTGTAAATTTGAATAAAGGGTATTTTTGTCTTTAACAATTGGCTTACGCACGTAACTCTCACGGCCTATTACTTTGGATGAAAAATTTAACAGTACACTTTGGTCAACAAACCATAGGGGGTGATGTGCCTATTCCTAAATTAAAGGGGGCTCATCAGCATTTGAGCCAAATTATAAGGGGGTAAAGTGAAATTTGTCCTAGAATTTAAGGTACTTTTAAATGTAAAAGCATTTTTCTTTTAACAATTAGACATCCAATAAATAGTCCATCATTCTTCAAATTAATCATGCAATAATACATTCTAATAGTATTATGGCCTTTTTTTATATTTTGTTTTGCCAAAACTCCACTTTATATTTTAGTTCATTTATGCTTTTCGTTTTTCCTCCAAAGGAAAATTTCAAAAAGAAAATGATCGCTTTAAATGAAAGTTTATCATGTTTCAACACATGTTCCAAAATGAAATCACTTGGTTTAGTGTTTTTTTGGCAACACTGCAACAAACTGGAATTATTTGCAGTTGTCACATTGACCCTTCGAATATCAGTTAACAAATTTCATACTTATCGAGTAAAGACAATATAAATGATACCCATTTGCATCCACCCACACACAATACACATGCATGTAGCTCATTGCAGTAGATGTCAATGATTTCCCAGCAGCATCCACAAGAAAAATGATGGCGGCACCCATATTGCAAGTTCAATTTGCTTCTTTTTTGTTCTCTAATACGTCCAGAGCTGCAAAACTGCATGCTCCCCTAGATAACCATTTTTACTGGTTATCTAGACTGCATTACAAATGTAGTTAATATAACCGAGCTAAGTCACATATACTTTCTACATTGACAGTGTATGTGATCATCCATAGAATATCAGAACAATGACATGTCAAAGGCTAATAGGAAAAGTATTAAGACATTACGGCACTCTCACAAAATAGATGTGTGTAGCCTCGTGTTCTAACATGACATGTAATTGCAGCATTGATCCTATATGCTTTTAATCAATTCCAGAAAAGTTAGCTAAAGTCAACACTTAAGGCAGCTTCTTTTTTTTTTTTTCTCTGTCAATCTTAAGACAAGACTAAAATTCAGAAAACAACTGGCATATTAACAGTTTACCAATATCAATATGTAAAATAAATAATAAAACTATGCAAAAAGAAACAAAATTGGATATCCACAGTAAAAGTTTCCATCATACAGAAGATGAGGCTGCAAAAATGACTAGAACTAAAAGCATAGGGCTAAGGCGTGAGCAGCAAATTAGCAGTATAACATAGAAGAAATGGAGAAGTACCTCAAGTTGAGAGAAATCTGAGAGAGTATCAGTAGAATGTCTCGCATTTTCCTTGGGCCCCTTGAGACCAACACCATGACTGGTAGAAGTAATCCGCACAGCAGCAGGATCATTAGGTGGGGGTGGTAAAGGAGATCTGATCTTTGTCGCTCCAGTAGGTGGAGGGGCAAGGCTCAGAGCTTTAGGTTTTCCAGTTCCAGAAGCCCCTCCTGACAACCCAGCAGCTGAAAGCATGCCCGTACCACTAGATGGCTTGTTCTTCACAGTTATTCGGATGGTTTCACCTTCCTGTAACCCAAACATTGAAAGGTTAATTTCACCTAGAATCAAAGAAAAGCAGCAAAAAAATCCCAAGAAACATGATCCAGAAACTACTGTAACAAACACTGTTTCAGCAGAAGCCTACAACAATTAACAGGTGAGTGATAATTTATTTTGTTTTAGTCAGTAATCACGAGTCAATATAAAAAGTAAGTGATGGAAATTTTAGGACAATGCCTAGCCTAATAGATAGATGTTTTAATCAACTGAGTATTGAAGCCCACTGTAACCAAAATAAAATGGACAAGGCCCTTGGAATGACAAAATAGATTACAGGAAACAAATTCAATGGAGGCGCACCAAAAGGCACCGTGTCTTAATTTATATAACATCATCAGATTTTCAATCAAAATTTATGAGGCAGACCTCATTGCAGACAACAAATTTATCTCCAAATGCCTTGAGTCTATTGCACTTGTACTTTTAGCCCCCAAGTTAACGTAACAAGAGAACAAGTTATGCATATGGTGTCCGTAATTCACCACTATTACTAATATGCTATTCGGTTCAATTTTCCCGTTAATATTATGTCGATATGGCCTATTGGTAGGGAACGAACGACCTTAATTCTCTCAAGAATCCCACTACTTATCATTATATATGAAATCATTGATAAAGCTTTCTACTTACAAAACCATTGATAAAGCTTTCAACTTACAAACACCCCCCCCCCCGGAAAACACAGTTATTACCAGACCACAACATAAATAGAAGACTAATAACACCAAAAGAGCATGCTTTTATCCTTTCAAATAAAACAAACAAGTAGTGGGGTGGGATTACTAATAGTCAGGTCAGATGGAACATTTCAATAAAAGCTTTGGATTAGATTCCTCTCTGCCCAACAGCTGATCTGACTCGCCCAAAAATTACTTTGTATGTTACATATATGATATATGTACACTCCCCGATCATGAACACAGTGTGATTCTAATACAAATGTAGATAAAATTCAGATAAAACAACGATTTTGTCCTCTAAATCATACTGAATTGACTCGAATTTTCACAGATACACAATGAAAAGTATACCTTCAATCTGTGATTGACAGCAGGGTGAATATCAATATGATTGTCATCGCTGCCGTCGCTCGATTCACCAGCCTCCTTGTCGTGCTCCCTCTTCACATACTTGTCATGATCCGACAACGCCACATTGAAATCAAACGCCTCGTTCCGCTCATTGAATCCCAACCCTATGAAGGCGTGCTTTCCCCTTCCGTCCTCGATCTTGAGCACGAAGTACCTCGACGAATCGAGCACGGGCTCGACGGAGGTGTCACGCTGGCCAGGGAGGACGAAGCAGGCGGCGAAAAGCTCGCCAGAGGAGGGATCTTCGAGGCGGATCTCGCAGCGGTCCTTGCAGGAGACGACGCGGAGGCGGCCGGACCAGATCTTGTCGGACTGGAGCCACTCGCCGCACTTGTAGCCGCCGCTGGTGGTGCGAGGGGGGATTTTGTAGACGGCGACCTCGCGAACCACCAGGAGGGTGTGCTCGAACGACTCCTCCTCCTCCTCGAACGACATCGGTTTTTTTTTTGGGATGAATTTGATGATAGAGGTTTGAAGTTGAAGGAAGATTTGGAGGGTAGGGTTTTGGTGGAGATCTGATCAGAGTGGAAACCAGGGATTGGATTGGAATTTGGAGTAGAGTTTCAAAGCGTTGGACTCACGCGGGATTGAGAGAGAGAGAGAGGTGGCGAGGAGGTATCAATAGAGTTGGGTTTTTTGCAGAAGAAACGTGGGTTGGAAGCGTATTTTGAGAAATGTCAACTGTAGTAATCACTTGGCACGGATATTGAGAGTAGGGGTCGTGTTTGACAATAGGCTCCGTTTGTGAAGACCTTCTAATTGTTATGATTTGAGAATATGACTTATATTTTGAATTTGTGTAGTTTGAAATTATGTTTTGAGCGTAAAAAATTTATTTGATTATGATTTTTGAATAGAGTGTGGAATTGAATTTTGAAATTTTAATTTGATATGTAAAGTAAAATAATTTGTTTGATTATTAATTTTGAAAAGAATTTTCAAAACTTAATTTAAATTGTTATAACTCATAACAAAACACACTACTTTCATACTATTGAAAATTCTGATCAACACTCATAACCAAACTCTTTTTAAAATTCAATTAAAAAAATTTATTATTAACAAAAAATAATATTAATCAATTTTTTAATTGAAAATACTACAAAGAAAATAAATTTTTTTCAAAATAAATATTTAAAAAATTTAAATCACAAATATTTAAATAATTTAAATAATCTAAAAAATTTAATAAGTAAAAAATTAAAATAAATATTGAAAAAATTTAAATCGTAAAAATTTAAATAATTTAAATATTCAAAAAATTTAAATAATTTAAAATTTTAAAATTTTAAATCTTATAAGTGTTTCAATTTCATTAGGTTAGATATTTAACTATAATTTAAAATAAAATAAAAAATCAGACTCATTGTTTTAATTATTGTTATTTTTTTATTCATATTCATTTGTTATGTTAGAAATCATTAACTAAAAATTTAAAATATTTAAAGTAGCTATTCTAAACTTGTTTATTTATAAATATTCATTTCTGTAGAAGAGACAACCCCAAATTTTGCTATTAAATTTTAACTTAAGTTCTGAAAATATTAAATCACCTTTTCTGTGTAAATAAATCTTGATAAACAATAAGATAAGGTAAAGAAATCATTGTGAAATATAAATATTAGTGTCCTCTAAACTAAGAGAAGAAAATTTTAAATATGGTTATTGCAATGAAAAAAATATAACTTAAAAAAAGAAAATAAAAAAAAAGAAGACAAATTACAACGGTAGTCTCTATACTTTAGCTCTTATGTCATTTTGGTCTCAATAATTTCAATTAGCTCGATTTTAGGGTTAGGCCAGCCATGTTCAAGTGATTTTGGTGGATTTTCTTTGATTTTCTTGTGTACAATCTATATATATATATGAAGATATTTTGGGTACAAAATTACTTATTTAAGAAATGTACAAGTATATATATTAATATAATGGTACTATAAATTAGTCTATTTTATCCTTTTGTATTTATTTAGGGGTTATTTGGGATGACCTAAATAAGTGTACTTTTTGTCTTTTTACGAAAAGATGTACAGAAAAGTAGAGAAGTGATGTAATGAAAAAAAGATGAAAAGATAAAAAGATGGATTATTTGGGACTTCCCAAACTTGGCCTTAGTCACTTTAACTATTGCCAAACGAATTCTATATATTTTCACATAAATTTTAATTGTGTAGTTGTGAAATTTCATTTAAAAAATATTTAATTGTTAAAAGTCTAAGATAAGGTTGGTAAAAGGCATAAGGTCTAGTGGATTTTTTTTTTTATTGGTGAGAGGTTTATTCTTTGTAAAATAGTTTAATAAGAAGTCTTTTTGTTTATTTTGAAAGAACTTGGTTAAAAATCATTTTTTTTTTATTTTTCTGACCTTTTTGGATCACATCATCTCTTCATTTATATATATATATATAAAAAATAAAAAGTCAAAAAGTCAATTTTTAACTTATTTTCCAAAATAAGCCAATTTGTTTGAAATCTACTCTAAAATTTAGTTGTTGACTTTTATTGACTATCTATTCAATTTTTTTCTCATATGTTCAAATTTTTTTCCTATTTGTTCATTTTTTTTTTCATATCTGTTCAAAATTTTTACATATATGTTCAAAAAAATTTCTTATCTGTTCAACTTTTTCCTCTTATCTGTTCAAAATTTTGCCTCTATTGAATTCCACAGAGTCTATTTTCCTTATCTATTGAATTTTGCAAGGCACTTTTTTTCCCTATTTAAATTTTTTATTTTTATTTGTTTAAATTGTGATATACATAGAGAGGAAATAGACTAATTTGTTAAAATGTTGTTATCTGTTCAAATAATTTACAACAAGAACAATCTGGACCAATAATGGCTTCACGATAAACCAATTTTTTTAAAAAAATCTCTCTCTCTCTCTCTCTTTCTCTCTCTCTTCCTAGTGCAATCTATGTCGTCGTCATCATCAACAACAACAATAAAAGCAACAACAAAAAAGAAATAAGGAATCTAATTCTTTTGGACAGATCTGAACTCAGATCAACAACAACTACAAAATAAAAAAAAAAAAGAAGATAAACACGATCTACTAATTTTGAAATTTTCTGCGATCTGATCATCGATCTCCTTTGCCTGGTCATCAATATGGGTTTTCGAATCTGCTCACAACAACAGGATCAAAGCACCACAATCAATATTTCAAGCCATGTTCCATAAGCTATGTAGCGAACAAGCATATCAAAAGCAAGCACAAAACACAAGGATGAAGTATGATCTAGGTTTTTCCAGTAAAACAAAACATAGCATTCAAGCTTAAAAAGTGTATCGAGTGTATACACACACACGCACACACACAGAGCTTACTTGACATTCATACGAGCAAGGCAATCGGCGATGAAGGTGTTTTTTTTGTTTTCCATTTTCACATCTTTCGTTCTGAAGGTGTAGCTGGAGAGTAGATATGTGTTCACCTCCGGCAACAATACCATTTTTCCATCTCTAACTCTGTTGGCTCCATTGTTCCATCTTCGAGTCTCATCGTCACGCAATCGAAGCACTATGGTGGCGAGATCGTCGTGGTGAAGAAATAGAAAAGAATATGAAGAGAGAAGATGAGAGAAAAAGAGAAGAAATAGAAATCAAATCAGCGATGATGATGAAGATGAACGGCCGTCTGTGGCGGCGGAAATTGTAGTTGAATTAACGGCGACGATTGTACTGACAGTCGGAGTGGAGGACAAAACAGAGGTGGATGAGAGAGAGAGAGAGAGAGAGAGAGAGAGAGAGGATTTTCTTTTGTTGTAGATCTAGGGATTTGATGAACCAAATCTAGAGCCATGGAGTTCTGGCGGTGGAGGAGGTCATCATTGTGACCATATTTGCAGCATCAACGGCGCTGCTGTGGGTGTGGTGGTGGGGAGACCGTCAACTGGTCGCTGGTGAGTCCACATCTGCCTAAAAACCCATGAAAGTTGCCGATCACATGAATGATGGTGGTGAAGTGAGAGAGAGGGCAAGAGAGAGAGGGTGATGGAAGAAAAAGTGGGTGAGATATAAGATATGAGGAGAAAGTGAGAGATTAACCCAGGGGCCTGGGGTTTAAGCCCTAGGTGCTGGGTTCAACTCTACTTTGGCCAATCTCTTGGGCGTAGTATAGTTAGTTAGTTAGGAGTTTGATCTCAAGGATGTCTTATCAGCTTGATCTTCAAGAGGTTGAGCTCAAGGATGCCACAGGTTATTATCAGCTACTTGGTGAGCTTGATCTCAAGGATGCCTTATCAGCTACTTGGTGTGGGTTCAGGAGGTTGACCTCAAGGATGCCACAGGTTATAGTTAGACAGGTTATAGTTAGACCTGCGGGAGAGTGAGAGGATTTTCTTGTAACAAAAAAAAAAAAAAAAAAGAAGTGAGAGATATGAGATAAATGGGTGATTTGGAAAGTTAGTTAAAAGTTAAATTTTTGATTTTTTTTTTACTTTTTTGTCTTTTTGTGTGTAAAAAATATGAGAATTGATGTGATTAAAAATGAGTTAAAAGTTAAAAATTAGCTTTCCAAATTGCCCCAAAATTAACGTGTGTCTGGCAATGGAGTAGTTTAGTCATTTTACATGACTTTATCCTTACGAACAATGTGTTTAGTGCCTGAACCTCTAGACAAAAAAAGAAATATATATATAAAATTAAATTTATTAACCGAACACCCATTAAAAAAAATAACTAATACATCTTACTGTCAAATGTTAGCATTTATTTTATTTTATTTTTCTCAAACCGCAGTGGATGCTTGCATATGTTAAAAGATGTTAGTAATTAAACCAAGGGTGAATGATGGTGGGCAAAGTAATAAGTGGGAAGAGGAGACTGATGTGATAATAATAGCGTGTCACATTCACATATATATAAATTTTATACATTCAAGTGGAGTTCACTTTTACTAAAAATATATTTTAACATGTTTTAACATCTCTATGGTAATGCCTACTTAAACTAATAAATACTTTTAACACACCTCACTTTTATTATTACTTTTTTATCATAGGGGAACTATCATTAAAGTTGAAATTAAGAAAAATATTTTTAAATTAATAAAAAACTTTACAACATTAAAAAATAAATGTATAAACTTTTTCATAAAAGTGATAATATATGTTAACATTACCACTGAAGTGTTATTCCTCTTATCATATAACATTTGCATATATATGATTTTAACTATCTTAATATCTCTTTTTTTTATTTATTTATTAGTGATTTATTAATTACAATGTGAAGGGATAAATATTGACTCAAATCTGAAACAATTATGATAGAAGTTACCCATCCAATGGAATGCTTTTATTATTTAAGGGGATAGACTAATTTCCATAAATCGAAAAACACAATGAGATCAACAACCTACTAGAGGGTCAATAAGATTAATCCTTAGCAAGTATATGGACCATTATGTTATAAAATTGGCAACATGGGCCTTTATGTAACATCATACGATAAACAGCTCAGAATTTTTAAGAACCACATAAGATTGACTCACCCCATACATCATTGATTGAGAAGAAATTTGATTCAAAACGCTACTATCAGAATGAAACCAGTGGTGGCTCTGGACAAAAGAGATAAGAACTTAATAGAAGAAGATGATCCAAATGATTAAAGTACATTGGCAAAAATTTACCTAGAAATGTGATATGCAATATGGGCAAATTATCCATAACTCTTCAGGGCCTGA